TCGTCCTTTGCAGAAATGCTTTCCAACCTCTGGTCTACAGCAATGATAGTAAAATATCATGTCTTATCTGATAGAATTATGACAATTGCAAAGTATGGGAGGGACACACTGGGAATATCAGTGATGAAGACCTTACATTATACATGAAGCATGTATCATTTCCAAGTAGAGTGTGATTATATAAAGATATATTTGGAGAATTCTGAGTTAACTACAAAAAAGAAAAAAGTTATAAATAATAAGTAAATACTGCAGACTAAATGTTATCATAAAAACTGTTCAACTAGTGGAAAAGAAAACAGAAAAAAAGAAAAAAGAAACAAAGAATAAAACATGAAGCTTCAACAAGATGGTAGATTTAATCAATCCAACCATATTAATAATTATATTAGGTACAAATAGTCTAATGGCACCAAGTTAAAATATAATTTTCATGTTGTATTAAAAAAAAGGAGAACCCAACCATATGCAATGTACAAGAAAACCACTTTAAAGACATAGATAAAATAAAAGAATGAAAAAAGATATATCTAGCAAATACTAATCAAGGAAAACTAGACAGTTATATTAATGTCAAAGCAGACTTCAGAATAAAATTACCAGAAATAAATGGGAATATTACATAGTAAGAAAAGTATTCAATTATCCAAAAATCTTAACAATCCTAAATGTTTAATGCATGCACCTAACAAAAGATCTTTGCAACATATGAAGAAAAAACTGACAAATCTGAGGAGAGAAACAGACATATTCACAAATTTGTTTGGACTCTTCAACATTCCTTTACCAGTAGACAGTAAACAAGTAGACAGAAAATCTTCAAGGATAGAAAAGACCTTAGTAATACTAGGAAGAACTTGAACCAACTCAAATTTGTAAAGTACTTCATTCAACAACAGCAGAGTACACATGCCTTTTCTAGGGAAAATCAATGAAACCAAAGGTTGGGCATCTACAGCAATATGAAAGTTTTATGGAATATTACCACTCCACAGTCATAAACGTAAACTTTAAACAATGCAAACAGTTACTATAAAAGGAAAATTTATGACATCATATTTGATGTTATTATGTACATTTAAACATTATGCATCTAATTCATCTCACTGTAACTTCTACTTTTATGTACACATTTTTAAGGCAAAAAATTCAGAAATAAGAATTGTAACCTTACTAAAACAAGTATTTCATACTTTCAGGCAATATTCTAATGTTGACATCCATCTGGTGTTTGTAAAACAAGAATGATGAAAACAAAAAAAGAACTTGCTCATCTTTATGTCCCCAGAATCTAGCACAAACTTGGAACATCATGGAAAGTCAGCCAATATTTAGTGCTAAACTGAAAGAAAGGGAAGAAAATTTTAAAGTCATAGAGTACATTATGTTTTGCTAAATGTAGCAGTTCTCTATTTTGCCATAACAAATTAATACAAATTTAGTTGCTTAAAACAACGTAAATTTATTATCGTACAGTTTTGCATGTCGGAAGTGATGACATGTGTCTTAATATACCAAGATCAAGGCCAGGTGTTGTACTGGATGCCATCCCTTTCTGGAGGCTCTAGGAAAGAATCCCTTTCCTTGACATTCAAGTTTGTAGAGACTACCACATTCTTTGGCTCATGAACTTCTTGTTCTATCTTCAAAGACAGCAATAATGGGTCAAGTCTCTCATTTCATCCCTTTGACTCTCTTTTCCCTCTTCTTCTATTTTTAAGGACTTATGTGACTAGATTACCTGTACCCAAATAATGAAGGATAATACCATCTCAAGGTCAGATGATTAGCAACCTTTTTCACCTGCAACCCTAATTCTCTTTCGCCACATAATATATTCACAGATTATGGGAATTAGGATGTGGACACCTTGGAGGCCATTTTCTAACTAGTCTACTGTGGTTTAAGAAAACTATAAAATAGGAAGTTATTCATCTGGTATTTTTAGATTTGTAATATAGCAATACAAGAGGATAGAATACATGATACGCAATATTTTACTTAAAAGACTTGAAAAGGTTACAAATCTATCACATGCTATTATAATGTATCTGATACATTATAATGATAATTGGATTTTAAACATAACATTAGTAGTTTAATTTTATCATCCTTTTCAATGAAGGGTTGAGCCATTAGGGTTTATGCACACCACATTTCTAATTGTAAAAGCAGATAATCAACCAACTTGTACTCTGTGATACAACAGTATAATTACCTCATACAACAATTCAATTTAAGATAAAAACAAGGCCATTTGTACCAAAGGAAAAATATGAATGTTAAATATGCAGTCAAAGCATATAACAATTTAAATAGCCTTTATTTACTATCTTTTTCAATTCAAAGAATGCCAGAGTCAGCATGCCAGCTCCCTGGATTAAAGTAGGGTTCTCAATCAGTATTCCAACAGTCAAATTATTTTTTGCCTGCTAACAATGAGTATAATCCAATATTTAACTCATTAAGAAAGTATTAATTTATAAATTGATTATGTCACTTTTATCAAGGTTTCTTTTTAATTTTGTCTAGGAGGAAAATACATTAAAAAGTATTTCTATTAGTAGTGAAGATGTCAACATTTAAAATCAAAATGACTGTATTATCGTAAATGTTTAGAATTAATGTTCATATATATGATATAATAGTAAAATATACATGGGAAAAAGTCTTTATAAATATGAGATCGGCACAAACATGTTAACTGAAACTTTTCTTCTTGACTACTATCCCAAACATAGTATAACACAAATATTATTTATATCTAAAATTTATACTTACTATAAATATGATTTATATATGTTTATGTATTATAAATATTCATATAATAATTTATATTGGAGGGGTAAAAACCATCATTGTATACTATTCAATTTGCAAATGAAAATTAAAACTTTCAATTTTTAATTGAACGATTTTCTCTGTAAATCTAGCATAGTTTTTTAGCCATACCAAAGCAGTCTTGAAGTAATAATAAAGACTTAAATGTTATATAAATATCTTGTAAAAAACAGAAAAATATCATTTGAAAAGATCCTTCCAAATAGAAAATAGAGATAGACACACACATACATACTGACCACACAGAAGTCAATGCTATCTTAACTCCCCAAGCCTATTTTAATGTCATAATACAGATAGAACATAGAAACTAAAGCTCTAAGTATACTAGAAGGTTAAATTTTATAACTACTGGAAAAAAGTCCATACAAGGAAAACAAGGTATCTTGCACATATCTGATACAGATTTACAGAATTCTACTGTGTTCTGTTCATCAAAAATTCTTGTGTTTCTGTCTATATACAGTAGCTCCACAGTGAATTTATGCCTTTATGTAGAGCTAGAAAAATGTAAGAACACCCAATTTCTTCTTCTAGCTCTACTGGTAGGGGCACTAACAAGATAAATAAAGCAGAAACTGGAAGGTTTTACAAAGAGTATAACAAACTGAAGAATTTTCAGGCACCAAGTTATGTTTTTTTCTATAATTCACCTGTGAGACAATATAACTCTATCTAAATATATATACAATTGGAGGGCCAGAAGGAAAGGGAAGAGAAAGGTTAGAAGTGGTGGGAACAACAATAAGAATCAGTGAAGTTAAAAAGCTACATAGTTATAAAATAAATAAAATGAATAAATAAACATAAGCCAGAAGAAAATATAAAACAGAATAATACACATGTAAAATGGAAGAGAAGGAAGAGAAAAAAAAGAAACATAGGTGGAAAAACGGAAAATAAACAGAAAAATGGCAGATTTAAAATCATATCATTTTTATATTAAACATAAATGAAAACAAACAGACATTAAGAAAGAAGAGACTGTCAGAATAATTTTAAACAAAAAAGCAAGACCAAATTATGTGCTACATGCCTAAATTTCAAATTTTAGGCATATAATTGACAGCTCCGATATCTATCAACAGGTGAATGTAAAAGCAAATTTGCTAAAATCATATAAGAGAATACTACTCATTAATAAAAATGACTAAGCTATTGATAGTTAAGTACATTTTAAATATTGTGCTGAGCAAAAGACAGATCCATTTCTGGATCTAATAGAAATCAGATCTGACAAAAATCAGATCCAGCTGATATGTATACAACTTTCAGCAGTAGTGGAGAAGGTGGGCCTGAATAAAGAAATCATGATGAAACTTTTTGGGCTACAGAAATATTTTACTTCTTGATTCTGGCGGTATTCATACAGGTGTATACCTTTGAGAAACATCAATGCGCTGTAAACTTAAAGTGAGAAATTCACTGTACATCATAATTTAATAAAATTGAGAAAGTGAATTAAATTAGAAATCAAAGGGCTGGGTGCGGTGGCTCAGGGCAGAGAGCAGTGGCTCACGCCTGTAATCCCAGCACTTTGGGAGGCCGAGGCAGGTGGATCACGAGGTCAAGAGATCGAGACCATCCTGGTCAACATGGTGAAACCCATCTCTACTAAAAATACAAAAAATTAGCTGGGCATGGTGGCGTGTGCCTATAATCCCAGCTACTCAGGAGGCTGAGGCAGGAGAATTGCCTGAACCCAGCAGGCGGAGGTTGGGGTAAACCGAGATTGCGCCATTGCACTCCAGCCTGGGTAACAAGAGCGAAACTCTGTCTCAAAACAAACAAACAAAAATCTGTCTATCTTTGATTACCTCACTAAGAAAACAGAAATACCTTAGGGAGTTGTGAAGATTAACCAAGATAATAGGTATAAAATGCTTATTAAAAAAAAGAAATCAACAATATATCCAGAAATGGTACAAAATTTAAAAATTAAACAGTATACATTAAAGCATTAAGGACAGTGTTAAAAGGTGGTTGCCTGGATGTTTAAGATAATATATACAGTTTAATTTGTAGGTTTGAGCTTAACACTATAATTAATAATAATTTGAAATGTGATTAGCAATTTAAAGTTACACAAAAAAATTTATATGCATATATACAGACATACATACAAACACACACACACATACACACACACACACAATTACCAATTGAAGCTGAGCGTATTTGTCTCATATGAGTTTCTATGACAGAAGGATCCCGAGAACTGTAAATTCCTAATTCAGGATAAAAGCTGGAGCCAATGTCATCTGGAGGGTTGTGTCTCCCTTGCGGATAATTCTTGGCTATTCTAGGGTCCCAATGCTCCAACACTGGATGATTCCAATGTATATATTTACCGTCAAATTGTGGATTTCCATACCAACTGTAATAAAATATATGTAGATAATAATTCAGAGGTGGCAGTTCTTCCAAGTTAAGTTCAGAGGCTTTGGAAGGTTTCATAGTGATTTCAACACTTTTTAAATTCTTGGTATTCGTTTCACTGTTGATTCTGTCACTCTTTTGGAAATCAGAGTTTTTCCCCAAGTGAATAGTTCGTTGATGAAGTTCTGGAAGAAGGTCAAGTCCAAAAGGAGCTCCAAATGTAGCTGTATTTGGTCTCAGCATTTTTAAACCCATCATCAGAGAGAAAATAAATAGAATAAAAAGGGCCAAAATGATGCAAGTCCTTCTCCGAAACTTTGCCATGATGACATGCTTTAAACTCCAAAATAGCAAGTATTTTGCTGCAATTTATTGAAAAAAAGATAATTAGGGTTATCAACAATATTTTCTAACGTATTCAACATGAAAAGTAAAATCCATAAATTTTATTATGTTGAATAATTAAAACTGATTTCATAATATATTGGAATATATTGGTAAAATTAAGAAAGTACAGTATGATTAATTATATCATCATAGAGCAATGTCTACAAAAAGAGTCTATGGCTAGAATCTTTGACTGAAAATCTTACTGAACACAGATTACAAACAGTAACTTATGACTTCTAAAATGGTATTCTATGTGTTTTTGTTTTAGTAAGTATGTTTATGGACACATTAGTGCAGTGCTTCTTAGCTATTAAGAAAAGACATTATTGGTATATATATATATATGTGAGTATATAAGTACATATACATCTTATGAATGAAATATTCAAATATTTTATATACAAATTTCTTATTAGAAAGGTATTTGGCACAATGCTGACGCTGATTTATAAAATATGAGTTTCTATGGTATATCATGTGCTGTTATTCTAGAGAAATAAGTTAAAACAGACTAACTCTAATAAAAGAGTCAGACAAGCAAAACTTCCTACAAACTGCTGCTTCTACTATATGTGTATTTAAGAAACACTAAACTAACCAAGCGTATTTCTTTTGCAGCTAAAATCATAAGAATTATTTTTAAGGTCAATCTTGCTTAATTGTGAATAGTGAATAACATAAATATAAAGAATAATATAAAGGATAGTATAAAAGACATGTCTAATTTAAAGCATATAAAGTAAACATTCAAAAAGAAATTTGCCAGCTTAAAAGCTCCTTTCCACTTCTTGCATTCCCTCTGAATGACCAGTCCTGCTCTTCTGCCTGCCTAAGGGCAACTGCTTGACTTCCATGTTTAACATTATGCTTCATCTTCCTTTTTAGTTTTCCCACCACACAAGCATATCTAACTAAAGTTAACTGTATTTTGTCTGTTTTAAACTTTAAGTAAATATGGTGTGCATATATATATACACACACAAACACAATTATGAATACATATGTATATGTATTAAATATACATAATATGTATACTGTGCATATATATCAATGCATGCAGGTACATATACATATGTATATGTACACATGCACAAACATGTGTGTATTTACATATTAAGCATTTTATGTTGTATATGATATATACATGTCATACATGTATTTACATACAATATAAATATCTATGATTATATATACATAATTACATGTATTTAAAATTTATAAAACTCTTAGGAAACAATATTGATCATTAAACCTTTTCTGACACATTACCTCGTATCCTAACTCTTCCCCATCCCTGCATTCTACCACATCAGTTCCCTACCTCTCTAATAAAAAGCTATGTAAATGAACTTTCAGTAAAGGAATAGGTAGACGGGTCTGGAGATTTTTTTTTTAAATAACTATATACATATTGGCAAAATGTTCCTCCAGAAGATATCTAATTAATTAAAAATGGGGACATAATAACAGTGGAAAAGCTACCAAAACACCAATTTATAGTGATCAAAACTGACTTTATTAGTTAATTTTGGGTAAATAAGTATGACCATTAGTTTCCAGAGAAGCTGTACTGAGAAAAACACAGAATCACTGCTGTGGTATTCCTGTTAAAAATTAATCCAGAACTAATCATGAGGAAGCATCAGACTATATAATAAAAGAGGATACACACACACACATACACACACATAACTACACACATATTCATACATATATGCACTCCACATACATACACTATATGCTTACATACAATGCAACATATAATAAGTAAGGGTGTGTGTGTGTGTATAATGGTAAGCAAATGTAGTAAAATATTACCATTTGGTGAATGTGCAGGAAAAATATACAGAAAATATTTGTGCTATTTATCCCAGCAGTAAATTGAAAGATATGAGCTGTTAATATACCTCCTTATTTCTGGAAAGGGCCAAATCATAAAGTCTTTCAGACCCTGCACTGCATGACTCTAGGAAGTGAAATTTCTACATTTGAGTTGTGGCAGTCCTGTTGCACTAACAGATATAAAATGATGATACAACCATTTTGGCATGCAACTGTAATTTGTTGTCCTGAAATTTTCAAATTATTGACATCACAATAAATACTTCCCTTTGCTTAAAGAAAGGGAGAATTGGCCGGGCGCAGTGGCTCACGCCTGTAATCCCAGCACTTTGGGAGGCTGAGGCAGGTGGATCACGAGGTCAAGAGATCAAGACCATCCTGGTCAACATGGTGAAACCCTGTCTCTACTAAAAATACAAAAAATTAGCTGGGCACAGTGGCGCGTGCCTGTAATCCCAGCTACTCAGGAGGCAGAGGCAGGAGAATTGCCTGAACCCAGGAGGCGGAGGTTGCCGAGTCGAGATCGCACCATTGCACTCCAGCCTGGGTAAGGAGCGAAACTCCGCCTCAAAAAAAAAAAAGAAAGAAAGGGAGAATTTTGATAAGATATGAAGCAAAAATAGTATTTTGGATGTACTATCATATCAACTATATTAAAGATGCACAGGGAAGGAAATTTATTTAAACATGTGAAATAGTTATGTCTGGGTGAGACAGTGATACTTTCTTACTCTGTTGTCTAAAACTAGAACATAATACTTCATAAGGAAGAAGTTTACCTAGGTATTCTATAAGCAAAAAATCAATGGTAATGAATGTTGCAAGAGTTACGGAGAAAGGAGAAACAACTAACAGATTTAGAAATTAATAAGGCATTGATTTTTGAAACGTTGACTTCAGCTGTATGGTGAGATGCATGAAAGATCAAGATATATAATAAAAAGAATACTGGTCTTGAAACCCGAAGGTGTCAATTCAAATCAGTCATGCTGACTTAGTTGTGCGATCCCGGAAAGTCACTTAGCCTTTTCTTAAAAAAGAGGGTAGGCCGGGCGCGGTGGCTCAAGCCTGTAATCCCAGCACTTTGGGAGGCCGAGGCGGGTGGATCCACGAGGTCAGAAGATCGAGACCATCTTGGTCAACATGGTGAAACCCCGTCTCTACTAAAAATACAAAAAATTAGCTGGGCATGGTGGCGCGTGCCTGTAATCCCAGCTACTCAGGAGGCTGAGGCAGGAGAATTGCCTGGACCCAGGAGGCGGAGGTTGCGGTGAGCCGAGATCGCGCCATTGCACTCCAGCCTGGGTAACAAGAGCAAAACTCCGTCTCAAAAAAAAAAAGAGGGTAGCTGTTTTGCCAAACGACAAAACTGTTCTGTGAATCATGCAAGACAAATTGAAAGAGTAATGTTTTAATCAAACAGTAAATACTAATGAATTTATAAGTAAATGAAAAGTGAAGAAACATAGGAAACAACAGAAACTTTAAACATTTTCTTAGGTTCATTTTCTGGATCTACACATGAATACAAAGCACAAAAAGTCCATTTATGGAAGCTGCTTTTTTTTCTCTCTCTCTTTTGCCTATAAATGTAATTTCTTAAGCTGATCCCTCTGTCTTCTCATTTTACGTTACTTCATTGATTCAGTTAAAATGTGTGTTTACCACATCATTATAGATGATACGCAAGCTCAATGTTAAGAAAGGATCTACTGGCTCTGGCTTAACCTCTGTATCCAAATTAAGTAATCTCAACCTAAATAAACACAGATGGACATGGAGATTAAAAATATGATCTCTGTAGGTCAAATGCCTGAGTCCAAATTCCAGGTGTGCCATTTTTTAGTTATCTGACCTACAAAACTGACCTGATCTTTCTGAGTTCCTTTCCTCACCTATAAAATGAGTTATAACTCCCCTCCTATTTTGTGAGGATGAAATTAGTTAATATTGTGAAACTCTCAGAAACATGTGGCTTGCTAAATAAATGTGAGCAATTGTTTAGGATGACGATTAAATATGGTTGTCTGGCAAGCAATTAAAATGTAACACATTTTATTCTAAGCGCCTATTTTCTCTATATGACCAACTATTGAAATACCAGTCACCTTCAAGTCAAAGTTGAAATGCTGCCTCTTCTTGATACCTCTCCTGATTCCACAGTGAAAAGTACTTATTCTTCATATATGTTATTGTTAACAGTATTTATTTTTTAAATTGTCATTTCTTATGGATTATATCATGCTATGCCTTTATATCCCCTATTAGATTGCTCCTTAAGTTTCAGAAATGGAGTCTTTATCTTCCCATTCTAGTAGAGTATAACATCTCTTCCACATAGTGTTCATTAAGTGTTCGGCTTAAAAAAATAAATTTCTGGCTCTTTGCTGTTTGATTGTTTGGGCAGTATATATATGTGTATGTGTATATATATATATTTGTGTGTCTGTATACACACACATATATATATAGAGAGAGAGACTACTGACAGTAAACACACTGGATAAGTTTACAGTATATACTGAACATATTATACAGAATCATAAAGATCCAATAATTTAAAAAATCCGATTTAATAGAAAAAATCATCTTCAAACACTGCAAAACCACAATGACCCTGAGATCCCTAAAATATCTGATATTGCAGGAGGGGGGTAGAGGAACTAATTTAGCTTCAAAAAAAAAAATTTTATAAGTCACTATAAGGAAAAAATTGCAAGTTAATTGCAGATGTATGTTTCCAAAACAGGAACCTACTCAAAGTATTGGCTACTGAAAATCTGTTTTCTCCTCAAAAGTCTTTTTACATTACTCATATACAATAGGTTCTTTTGAAACTATAGCTTCTATTTTGTGAGTTTTGTGCATTTAATCCTTTGAAATACTGATTTGAAGTTTAATGAATTTTAATAAAAAATTATTGGACATATCCAGCTAGCTACGAGACTCCAAGAGATTCCGAAGCAGGGTGGTATGAGTTAGTACTTCAAAAATTATTTGCTGTTCCATGTAACTCAGAAAAGCCAAAAATACTGCCTCTTTTAATTACTATTAACTAAATTAAATCACACAGAATTCTAGTGCTTTTTTTTTTTAATTTTCTTCTAAATTTATTCTGTATGAAGCCACCAGAGATAAACAGAACCCAATACTAGAAGACACATCTGTAACTTTCAAAATCAGTTTCTGTACCAAGGCTTCCTTGCCCAGATTAGTTTTACTGTAAATACTTGAACACGCTGGTTAACAGAAATTCAGTTAGGTATAGTTTCATCCTTCCATTCTAATCTTCACAACAACCTATGAAGTAGAATTTTTAACCCCATTATACAGATGACGAAACTGAGCAGTTGGTAACTTTTCCAAAATCTCTGGGCCAGTAAATGGCCAAGCAACCCAGCTGAGGTTAATCACTTAGCAAAGAGCAGATCAAGTCTGGCTCAAGAACTCAAGTTCTTGGCCTCATGCTATTCTACTTTCCTTTGAGGTATTACACAAATCAAATTTAAAGGATATATCACGGTTATTATTGTGACATAAGATGAAAACTGCTGCTATATGGTTATGCTTTCAATTAAAGATTATGTAGTTAATAAACAGTGATAAAGTGTTACCTACTTCATAAACTGTAGCCCAATCGTAATCTAAAGGCAGCTTATTCTATTTTTCTGATCATATATTCACTATTTATCACACGAATAACAGCAACAGCTTTGGAAACGGTGTTTTAATTGCTGTGTTTTGTTTGTTTGTTTTAGAGTGTGTTTTTCTGCATTGAGCCTAAAAATCCACAAATTCACAGCACTCTGGTTTTTTCAGGTGAGATACAAAGATGTGTTGTCATGAAAGTGATTTGCAAACAGTGTGACATAGTAACACCAATATCTAGGTTTTACTTTATATATATATATTTCAAACTACTGCCTCAATACTGTAACGAAAGCCTATTCCAGTCCCATTTTTCTTATTTTCAAGTTCATAATCAACATTATCCGCCCCCCCTCCTTGTTGTTTTATAGCATTTCCACAGTTTCCCCTAACACTTATCCATAGGGTCTTCCAACAATAAAAAGAAATAGTTATAACTGCCTGTACTTCAAGTTGCTTCTTTGGAAAAAGGAACAACAAAAACACTAATCCAGCACTGTTGCATCCTTAGACTTTACTAGTAAAGGGTAAGAGTCTAAGATGACAGTGCCAAACACGTTAACAGGTGAACGGAAAAAGCATCTCCAGCGGTTTCGCCATCCGGCGGTCTCCTCGATGCCCAGATGCACTGAGACAGGCGACAGCTTTCCTCTGCACCCTGAGCCCAGCAGGCCTCCATCCTTCAGCTCTCCCGGTCTGCTCAAGGCCTAGAGGCAGTCTGAGGGCACAAGGAGAAGGTGCTGAAAAAAGGATTCCACCCGTCCCGAAATTTCCAACTTGCCGGGGAGACAAGGAAAAACCGAGGCGACAGGAGGTTCCGTCCAAAGAGGAGGCAGCAAGGAGGCCGGTGGAATGGGTGATAAAGCAGTGTAAAAAGCAGTAAAACTAACTAACGCAGACTAACACGGGGTAAGAGTGACAGCGTTAGCTGATCTGAGGTCTCTAGGCTCGCGGCTCCGCGCCTGCAGCTGCCTGCCAGAGTGACGCTGGGTCAAAGGGCACTAGCAGGAAAGCGTCCACCAGATTGGCTGCCGGGAGAGCGCGCAGGCGCCTGCGGTGGACCTCGTGCCTGCCGCAGCCGCCTCCGCGGGCCCGAATCCTGCAGCTACTCACCTGGGTCGGGGAATCGGCTTCCTGCAGGAATTCGGCCAGCAGAGAGGTTGAGACTCAAAACACCGAGCCGACAGCCGCCGCTCCGCGAGCCCAGCTAGCCCCGCCTCCCGAAGGCGCGCGCAGGGCGTTCGGAGACCCCCCCTCCGGGGCGGGACGGGCGGGGGCGGGGTTACGGGGTGGGCGGGGCTCAGCGTCTCCGGCGCCTCCCGTCGCGCGTCTGGGACGCTGAGGGCGGGAGGGGCATGGATGAAAGACAGAATTGCGTTTGAGGCGTTCTGAGAAGGGAAAGACGTGAATTGGAGTCACACTGAGCTCCAGTCCTATTTCTGCAAGTAGAACTCACTGCCCTTAAAAGCGGTCTATTGGGAGGCTCTAACTTAACAGAGGACGTATCTTTGTTTTTATGTGAAACGTTCAAAAGTTGCTTTTGACCCGAGTACACTGATTTTCAAATTTTTTAAGATGAGGAACTGTTTTGATTTTTTTAAGAATAGAACTTTACTTGGAAACCTAAGGTGGGCACATGCAGATGGCGTTTTTAATTTGGAATGTATTCTGTAAAATTACATCGGTACTGAAATACTAGAAATAATTGAGGAGAAGTCAGATGTGAAGAGCAAGAACTTTTGAAATGGAATTACAACTGAAGGTTTCCATCTTACATTAGTTTCAGAAAACAAGAGAATACTATATTTTGTTTGGTTACAATAGTAACAGGAAATCCTTATTTGAGCTAGAACATGCTGATGTGAACAGTTTTGTAAGAGCTCTCCTTAAAAGTTCCCTGGAATTTTTACACCAATTTTAATTAGGAAGTATACATATGGATATATCTCATGTGTATATCTTAAAGGAGAAAAATGAAAACTGCCCAGGTACCTACTAAAGAGCTTAAGAAAACAAAACAAAAACTGTTTTTGAAGCCTTCTAGAAAGACCTCTCTAATAACATCTCCTTTTTTCCCTTCACCATTATGCTGATTTTTATGTTACTCGTTCCCTTGCATTTCTGAAGTAATTACATATGTACAATTCTTTAAAAATACAATTTTCCTGGTTTTATATGTGAATCATTTTTTCCCTTTTTTTCACTACCCATTTAGGTTTTGAGATGTTTTGTGGTTCGTCTATACACAAGTCCATTTCCCATTAACTAGACTGGCACATCATTATCCTTAACATGTCCTATTGTCAGAGTTTTAAGTTTTTGCTGGCAAGAGCATCTGATTGCTCTAATTTGCATTTTCCCCTTTGCTAAAAGCCTGTTTTTAATTTTGTCTCTTTTTTTATTAAATTGCTTGCTTTTGAAAATTTGTAGATATTTATTTTTTTCTAGTTTAATTCTCTCTTGTAAGTTACGTATGTTGCAAATGTCTTCTCTTAGTTTATGGACTGTCTTTCCAGTTTTTATGATGTTTCTTGATGGTCAAAAGCTTTATACTTCAGTATACAGCTTTTTGAATTTAATACTGTTTTACATCATAATTTTATGTTTTTTGCTTTCTTGTTTACAAGATTCTTCCCAACATAAGATGATAAATTATTCTCTTTCTTCTACAAGTTTAAAAGTTCAATTATAAAAATTTTAGACACAGAAAAGGACAAATAATAACCTAATAAACACACATGCACTCAACTGTATGTATTGCAACATTTTGCAACCCCCTCCTCCTAATGGTTCTTCTCTAAAATTACCTTAACTATACTTGGCTCCTCACTCTTTCATTTAAATTTTAGGATGAGCCAGCCAAGATCCATTAAAATAATTGGATTTTAATTGGGCATTATATGGAACTTGAAAATTGAATTTAGATATTATTTTAGTGAAATATCTTCTTATCTATGAACATGGTATTGTTATTTTATTCAGGTACTTATGTGCTATTATGCTTTGTAATTTATTGAATATCTTTCCTTGTATTGCCTCCTAGTTTTATTACTAAAATGTCAGATCTCTCTCTTTAAACTATGTTTTCTAATTGTTTAGTAATATTGTATTAAGAGAGCATCAATTTCTATATATTGGCACCCTCTCCAGAAGCTTTGCTGAATTTTTTTGATTGTTTGCTTTGTTTCCTTGTTACATCTTTGGATGCCCTATATAGGTTATCATACTACTTGTGAATAAGAATAATTCTTTCTTTTGTTTTCTCTTTTCAAACTACTTATTCAGTTTTTTCTTTTATTTATTAAGAGATCATCCAGTACAATGTTTAATGGAAGTAGTAATGGCATTCTTGTCCCATTTCTCAGGTTACTGCAATACTGCTAAAGTTTTATAAGGAAGCACAATGTTTGCTGTGGGTTTTTGGTAAATAATTTATCAAGATTATTAAGTGTTCTGTTTTCAGTTCATAACTTTTGTTGTTTGCTTTTTTTAAATCATGAGTGACAGTTTAATTTATTAAATGCTTTTTCTGTATCTACTGAGATAATCATTGTTTCCTATTCTAATATATTTATGGGAATGATTAATACATTTTCTGATGTTGAAGGAGAGGGAGAGAATTTTATTTTATAAATGTTAATGGGTGCTCACTTGCTTAAAAACTGGGTCCTTTATAATTGCCAGTGTAAATAAATTAGGACAAGTAGATTCTCGTTGCATCATCCTCTGTATATGTCAGATTCATTGCACAATGGTGTTTATAAACTGGATTAGAATTGCTACTAGTGCCTCATCTGGTAAGTATTACTGCTTACCTGTCCCCTGCTATTGTCAGAGAATGTTGAGATGGCAGTAATAGAAATAATGTCGTTAATATTCTTTTTTTCCACATCACTTTTTTCACAAAGTGTTTTTATGTAGATTATGTTTTATTTTTTGCTCAACATCACTGGAAAATAAGGAAACAATGTTTTGTTGTAATTATCACATAGGTAATGTTTTTACATTCTGAATCTTGATTTTGTTTTCAAATATGGGATGGCCTTAATAACTGCCACATCCAATTTTTAATCTCCCGTATATACATATATTTTTAATTAGTTCAATAATTTTCTGAATGTAAACAACATAGAATTAGTAAATTAATAAGTACTGATGGGAAAGGTCCCCAAGATAAATGATCAAGGGATTAGTATGTTAATACTTACAGGAGAAGTTCATATTATATTAATATAAATTTTAAATATATATATGCATGTATGATATATAAAAATATCTGACAGGATATATGCATTGTTACCTATAGTGATATAAGGGAAGGAGAATGCAGGAGCATTTTTATTTTTACTCTCTTTAGTGCTATTTTTTTTAATATAAGCCCAGATTTATGTATTTTTAATTAAAAATACAGCAGAGGAAGAATATGCCATTCATCTAGTAGATGGTTCCTTGGAAAGAAAAAGGGCTGCATATAAATTCATTTGTATAGTAAATAGACATTTTAAATGTGTTGCATCAGGGGTAATCAGTCACTGAGAGTCCAAAGACAAAAATGATCCAAAGAAGGAAGAATAGAAAAAAAAAATACACAATTTTTTTTTCTTTTTTGTCTAATTCTTGTCAGGAAGGATTCTAACACAAACTAATGGTAGACTTTATTTTCTGCTAATTAGCATTTATTAAAATCATAGTCCCCACCCCACAAAATCTTTGAGGTTAATCTTATCTTGCTACTAGAAAAGCAGCAGTCATTTATCTTACCTTTTAGGATCAGCATGAAGAGTCTTCTTTGTATTTCTGAGACCTAGGCCAAGAGTTATACCTTCAAACATCTTTTTCTTGCCTCTATTTTAGTGGGCCCTGTTGTTTGTCTCCTGATTATTTCATGTCTAGTTTTCCCCTGTCCTATAAGTTTCCCTTGTCCTATAGCATTTCCTAGCCATATGCCATTTTGTCACTTTGCTCATTACTCCTCTAACTGAAGATGAGAAATCAATTTCTGTCCTTATTCTCTCTACTTACATTAAGCAGAATTATATTTTCTAAGCAATAGAAATTGAATCTAGCAAGCCTAAAAACAAATAGACTATGCAAAAAGTTACAGAGTTTAGCATGAAGATGAAGGCTAGTATATTAGGTAATGGCAATGGATAGGAACCAAGAGGGGCCAGGAAATTGGGAACACAGCCTCATGTAACAGTGCAGATTAGGGCACTGCTGCTTTCAGAGCTTTACTGAACTCAATGCTGGTGAAACCACTATGAGTGACTTCTCAACACTGCCTGTGTTATCTGCCTCATTACTTCAAGGTTCAAATTTTGGATTGAGATCATTTGATTAACTTACCCTAGGCTGTATGTCTGTTTCTCCATAGTCACCTTGAAGTAGAACCCAGAAATTTTGGCTTCTTTAATGGGAAATTGGGCACAAAACACACAATATATTATTTTTTCCAAAACCTGAAGGATTTTTAGATTCTAAGAAGTAACAAAATAAAATAAAATAAATTCCCAAACAGTCCCATTATCCATCACAGTTCCTTCACTGTCCATATAAATTGTACTTTCTCCTTTACTATTCTATATTTACTGATTGTTTTATTCTTTTAATCCCTGTTACATTTATAAGGAGTGAAATGAAACAGCAATAATTTCTTTATTAACTAAATTGTTCTGTTCTTTTTATCATATCTTGCATCTATGAATGTGTAACTAGGGTATCCCTTGCCGCAGTTTGGGATGCAAAGAATGTAACTCCAAGAAATGCCATGACTAAAACACAAGCTTCCACCAGTTTATAGCAGCAGATAATTCAGAGCCAAACTTTCATTTTTCCTCCTACGGCTCTGATCCTTTTACTATACCTACCAGCATCCTGATAGCAAGGAATCCATTCTAACTCTATCCCACATAAATTCATGAACTATGATCAGACCAAAGAAAAAAATTGACTTTGTTGGTCAGGATTAAAATTCACTGGCCTCAGAGTGGTCACAGGTTTTAGGGTGACTTCTGAATCCATTGGATAAGGCTTTTCTGAGAATTGATCTATATAACCCAGAATTAAACTCAGTGCAGGTAATTTCTAAGTAAACAGGCTAAGCCCCTTTGGTGAAAGTTTTTCTCATTCTCTCATCCAAGTACTTGCCCAGGTCATGGCCCTCCTGAGTGAAGGAGATAGGAGAGGATTCTATCTTCCCAAATAAAGAAGGCAGAAAGTTAACCTCAGGTCGATTGGTGCTGTTAGATGCTAATGCACCGATTTACTAGATATGGGGCATTT